CACTTGCATAACAATAAGGTCATATAAGTGCCAAATATTTGAGGTGTTACAAGAGAGTAACAAACACTAAAAAGAAGGAGGGGAGATAGAGACAATAGGTTTATTATAGGAAAGAAGGAGCAAACCACACCAGAGCACCCGCCAACCACCCACTTAGTGACAGTTTTACACCACTTGCAACTCAATAAGGTCACATATGTGCCAAAGATTTGAGGTGTTAGAAGAGAGTAACAAACAGAAGAAAGAAGGAAGGGAGATAGGGAGAGGTTACATTAGTTTCACTGACAGTCTTACACCACTTGCTGCACAATAAGACTATGGGGTAGCATGAGATAAACAGGCTAATGAAAAGTGAGATATCAGCCCATTGACAATTCTACTGTACATAAGAACATGTTAATGTCCCCCCCTTTGGGAAAGGCCTAAAGACACTTCAGTCAGTAGCACTGCCCTGGGGGGGGGGGGGGGGGGGGGGAGGGGGGGGCCTTCCACTGGGATGTTAAAGACACACAGTAACAACAAGGAACTTGTTTAAGTTTTAATAGAGGTTTTACGGCACTCGCAACTGCATAAGGTCATATGAGCGCCAGAAGATTAAAGGCGTTACAAGAGAGTAACAAACAACAAAAAAGAAGAAGAGGAAAGAAGGACAATATATGTTTGATAGGAAAGAAGAAGCAAACCACACTAGAGCACCCGCCAACCCCCCATCACAAGGAACAATGTGTCCACGAGATATAAAAGACACACAGTAACAACAACAAAGAACCATGCGGCCGCTCACCTCCTATGGCGTAGACAAAGGCGCTCACACTCATGCTCATGGCCGCCGCCGCGGTGCTCACCCCAAACTGTCGTTTGAACTGGTCCAAGAACAGGCCGAACGACTTGGCGATGCCCACCATGAAGAAAGCGTTGATGAACACACCTGGAGAAAGCCAAATACAGCGTGATAAACACACCTGGGGAAAGCCAAATACAGCATTGATGAACACACCAGGAAAAGTCAACTACAGCCAGTCAAGTTCTAGTTACTGTTCCTGACTTTTGACACTGGTAGCTATATCACTATCTTCATCCCGACCTTGACCTACCAGTGCCAGACATGGACCCTGACCAAAAGTCTGGAACATAAGATAACCACCTGCGAGATGAGATGTCTAAGGAGAGCCGTCAACAAAACCAGACGGGACATGGTCAGAAACAACAAGATCAGAGAAATGATGGGAACAACACCTGTCCTCCACTACATCTGAAGGCAAACAATCAAGTGGTTTGGACATCTCACACGTATGGCACCTCACCAGCTTGCCAGTAAAGCCTACTACAGGAAAGTGTCAGGGTACAAGGCAAGAGGAAGACCAAGAAAGACCTGGATCCAGGGTGTGAAAGATACCCTGAGAACATGATACAATATCCCACCCAGCCAGGCCATCAAACTTGCTAGAAACAGGAAGTTTAGTTTTAGTGAAAGTTTTACGGCACTTGCAACACAATAAAGTCATATAAGTGCCCAAGATTAGAGGTGTTACAAGAGAGATATAAACATAAACAAGTAGGAGGAGAGATCAGGACGATAGATGTTTGATAGGAAAGGAGCAAACCACACCAGAGCACCCGTCAACCACCCACATCTTCCATTTTGACACATGCAAACAAACAAACAATATAGGAAGCACTTTCCCTCTGACCTAGGACAACCATCCACGCCCACCCCGTGTCGAGGGGCGGTGGGGGCTTCTCCCGAGTTCTCCATGCGCCTCGTTTCCACATCCCTGCTCCTTGTCCCCGTACGCCAAACCTCCTAAAACAACTGCCGACGCTGGAAGCAGCTCAGACGTCAAAAGTCAGACGTCAAAAGTCAGCTGCCTAGACCATCCTGAATCCTGAGGGAAAAAAAAGATAATTTTAAAAAATGAAGTACTGCTGATAAAAAATCCCAAAGTTCAACAATTGTGCAAGAAGGAAGCTAATGACACATGAGGAAGTCTGTGACACATTCTGAACTGTCAGCACTGTTGGCAATAAATGTAACCTGAGAGTGGGGGAGGGGGAGAAGGAAGAGCCGACTGTCCACTGACAACTTTTGACAAGGGAAGCCACTCCGTGACAGGTCGGTCATCGAGGCAAAGTAAATAACTGGTGTGAACAAGTGATGAGAGAGAGAGAGAGATAGAGGAGAGAGAGAGAGAGGAGAGAGGATAGAGGAAAGAGAGAGAGGAGAGAGGATAGAGGAATGCATTGAGGAAAAGTCAACTCAGCAGCCACCCCTCCCATCCCAATCATTGCCCTCATTTCTTCATCGTTCGCAGGATGAGTGAGTGTGTGTATGTGTGTGTGTGTGTGTGTGTATGTATGTATGTATGTGTCTGTGTGTGTGTGTGTGTCTGTATGTCTGTGTGTATGTATGTATGTATGTGTATGTATGTGTGTGTGTATGTGTGTATGAGTGTGTATGTATATGTGTGTATGTATGTATGTGGGTGTATATGTACGTGTGTGTATGGGTGTGTAGCCTATGTGCGTGAGTGTGTACGAGCGAGAGTGTATGTGTGTGTGCGTGTGTGTGAATGTGTGTATGTATGTGTGTGTGTATGTATGTATGTGTGTGTGTGTGTGTGTGTGTGTGTGTGTATATTGTTCGTACATACATTTATGTAAAGCGCCTAGAGCTGTGTTTACACGGGAGTGGGCGCTATAGAAATGATCTACATTATTGATATTATTATTATTATTACTATTATTATTATAACATGGGCCTACACCTAGTTTGCATCATCTCTTCCTCATTCGATGGCAGAATGAACAGAAACAACTAGTCTACATCTCCCACAAACATGTAAAAACCTGAATATATGCAAGTTCAGCGCTATCACAGAGGGCAAATACAACTGGTGGGAAACACCAAAGACTACATGGTTTGACAGCTGTGCTTGAGCAGGGAGGTTGAGGGAAACACACACACACACACACACACACATACACCCACACACATTCACACACACACACACACACACACACAC